AATAATAAACCATCCCCCTGTCATCACGATTTCTATAGGCGGTGGTATATGGTGGCCTACATTATGGTGATATCGCGTTGAATCCGCCTAATCAACCATCCAATTCTGTGTCAACTTTGTGCGATTTCGTGGCCACAGCGACCTTCCGTAGAAAATTTGTGCCTCCACGTAGGAGATGCAACGTGGAAGGTTAAAGGGATGGCCTGAAAAACAACGCGCAGCCATGCCGCTGGCCCAGCCCGTCAATTCCCCGGAAAGAAACGTATGGAACTTCACCAGTAAACACGGTGATTCAGCTATCAACCGGATTTAACATGATTCAACCGATTAAGTGATTCAACTGCCAGAAAATGGAAGGTGAAACAATGACAATTGGGATCAGACCAACAAAAAAGGGTTATTAAGCCAACAAACACGGTGGTTTAATTATCAAGAACATGTGATTTAACACGTCCAGCAACACACATGCAAGAAAAAACGTGGATTTCCTTTTATGTTCTGAGGACAGGATAGATATGTAAAGCCGACAACATGGAACTTATTGGTGTGTTCTACGCAAACTACGTGGAGTTTGTCTGAATCAGAAATATATGCTACATATTACATACTTTCCGGGTAATTTTGCATTAAAAATGCCTTGTGATTTATCAATATTTGGTCATTTTGTTGACAACTTTTAGTGGGATATCATGATACCATTGGTTTGTTTACTGTGCCCAAATCCCAAAAAGGTGAAGAACAATAAGTTGTGTATGGCTATACAGTCCATCGAACTACAGTAGATGGACAAATTATTCAAACCCCGCATCCATGAGTTGTAGGCTACCCCCTGTCCCTCCAAATTTCAACGATATGGTTCCGTATCTTTGCTCCTGGTCTTAGGGTTTGATTTATTTCGTCCATTACAAGGGTTTGAAGAATTCGTTCATCTACGGTACGGGGAGCGGTGGTCAGCAAGAGCGCAGAGAATGTGAAGGGTAACTTTTCCTAGTTTGTTTTTCTGTTCCGTGATACTTTGTCTCTACACGCGCTTTGCGTGATTGCAACTGCTGTGCTTTTCCAACTCCCTTAGACATGATTGCAATTGCTGTGTTTTTCCAATTCCCTTTCCCGAGGCTGATTGAAAATGCTCTGTTTTTCCAGTTCCCTTTCCCGGGCGTAATTGAAGATGCTGTGTTTTTCCAGTTCCCTTTCCCGGGTGTTGATCTAAAACGTAGAAAAACACAGCAAATCCGCGAAGGGAACTGGGAAGGGAACTGGACGGGAACTGGGAAGGGAAAGGGACCTGGAAAAACATAGCATTTCGTACACGCTGAAGAAAGGGAATTGGAAAAACACAGCGTTGTCAGTCCTGCCTAGGAAGGAAGTTGGAAAAACACAGCATTTTCAATCACACCCGGGAAAGGGAACTGGAAAAACACAGCATCTTCAATTACACCCGGGAAAGGGAACTGGAAAAACACAGCATCTTCAATTACGCCCGGGAAAGGGAGCTGGAAAAACACTGCATTTTCAGTCAGCCTCGGGAAAGGGAATTGGAAAAACACAGCATTTTCAATCACGCCCAAGAAAGAGAACTGGAAAAGCACAGCATTTGGGAGGACCTTTGTGACACGGCCAGCTGAAGTGGGTTTTATCATGTTTTATAATCCACTATTATGGCGATATCATGTGATGACTTTTTTTTTTGAAAAACGACAGGTGTCTTGTCAATGCAAAGAAATGGAAGAAATAAAGCTATTGAGGATACATGGTGGGTCTCATCATCCACTTTTGTGGCGTTGTGACTGGCGTTGCTTTTCAGTCATGGGGTGGCTTCTTTGTTTAAAAAACAACAGGTGGTGACAGGTTGCGTATTGTCAATGCATAGTGTGGAAGAAATGAGTACATAGAGGATTCATGATGGGCCTTATCATTCATCTTTGTGGCGTTGTCACTGGGCTTGCTTTTAGACTCATTGGGGCACTTTGGGAGAATATAATTTGTGAGGTCTTAGCAAAAACATATGCCACAAAAAATGCAAAATCATGATGAGAAAGTAAGCGCGTGAGACATAGTACTACGAATCTATGCTGGATCTACCCATTTCTGACTAAACCTCACTAAATCCCGGTTATTTGTCATCTCGTTTTTTTGTCGGTTCTACGCCAACAAACCAGCGGACAATTGCAATCATCGTCCCATCTTCTGGATGGAACAAGCATAATCGAAACCATCATTCATCATTCCTAAATTGGACATGATTCCCAAATGGGTGTTTCCAAAGTCATGGGGGATCCCCAAGTCACCATGGGTTTCAATATTCAACGGGTCTACTGAGTCTACTGACTTGGATGATTTGGAGCTAAACCTCCAAATCAGAAATACGACTGGTACATTTTTTGGGGTTAACCCCCCTTACACTCATTTGCAGTGAGGTCGTTTTGAGGTTGCAAACTTACCGTAAATACGAAGCTACGGGTACTTCCATCCTCCTTCATCATGGACCACCTGTTTTATGGGACCCCAAAGAGGTTCAATGTTGAACCAAACTGTCTGAGGTTGGTGATCTTCTCCTGTGTGACCTCCCAGGTCGAAGAACGCTACCACAAAGTAAAAGGCGGCGACTGCGTCCACCATGCGTGCATTACTCATGCGTGACAGGGCTCTATCTCTCGTCCGTATGCCCATGCTCGTCAACGATCTCTGCAGCAGAGACTGCCAGGCCCGCCACATTGAATAGCCCATAGTGGATCGACCATCCAGGCAAGCAAGTCGCTCTGATTGCCAAACGTGCGGTCAGCTGGGAAAGGCTCAGCTCCGGGAATTTCATTATCACCAGCCAACAGTTACTCAACATCAGTAACCTGTTGCTGGCTGCGAAGCTCAGACGCGAAGTGACATTCGGCAGAGGTCTTGGATTGCGTCTTAACTCGGGGTCGTAGTCTTCAAAGTCGTCCCTCTGCCATACTGCCATCAATGAGTTCTTGGTGACAAAGAAAGCTGCTCCCAGATCACTGCCATGTAGAAATCCGGGCGGTCGCAGCAAGATTTTCTCTTCTTCTTCTTGCACCAATCTGTCCAGAGCATGGCTTGAAACATTCATCAAGCACAGAAACGGTCGGGGGTACCTAAAGCCAATGACGATAAAGTGGGTGGTTGACGATAAAGTTGATGACTCCGCCACTTTTCATGTTGTTCCATCAAAAACATCAAACAATCTGATTCCGATTCACGTAGCAAAAAAAAAGATGATGTTGGGATGTTAAACGGCTTTTAAAGCAAAACTACAAGTCTTCATGGATCAAGAATCAAAGAAACTTTGGGTTCATGGGGATTCCCCAAGAGAAATCAAGACAAAAATCGCATTCTGATGGTAGTCTGGGCGAGGGTTAACTCTACCTAACCACCTTTTTTGTGATGTGGAGTTGCCCAAAATGGAAAAATCTATGGACAGAATGGCTACCCCGATCAACAAGGTCAACATATGTCAACATGACAACCACCCCATGAACAAATTGAACATCATGGATAATGGATTCATTTCAATAAAATTAGCTTCGTAGGCACATGGACCATGGATGAAATATTTGCCAGCACTTACCCCAAACCTGTTCCGAATGATCTCTTGCCATTAGAGGGTATTTTTGAACCTTGGTTTGACATTGCAAGGACCCTCCGCAGGGGTCGAATATTGAACAAGTCATCAAAAAACAAAACATTTAACCCACAAAGCGGCGCCCACAGATCTAAGTTGGTTTATAAACCCCATGAACATCCATTAACATCCATTAACATCCGCTTGATAAAATACCATAAACCCAAGAGTGAGATATTTCTGCAATGAGGCATCATCTTGCACTCAGCGGACCGCCAATTCTTCGCACCGGGTCCCACGCCTACAAAGGTCACTGCGTGCTCGTTGCCCTGACAGCAGCGAGTTAAACAAAGGCGCCCGGGATCGAAGTTCGGGCTGCAAGGTGCCCCAGTTTGCTAAGTTGGTTAAGATTGTATGAGAAGCTTCACAAGTGCTTATTAATGGTAGAGAGAAGTAGAGACTGTATATCTGGAACTGGGTTTACAGACCAACTTCTACCTGAGGGCATCCCTCTGTGCGGATAAATGTTGACAAGAATTGGTATATCTGTAGCGAGAATGCAAAAAAGAAACATTTAAAAACATTGGGATAAGACTTACAGTAACTTAAATTAAAATGAAAACAACATATGCACATGTACATAAAACCAATAAAACATCCTGATATTTGTACAGTGAAAGTTAACATATATCTCAGTTGTATCAATTTGTCCCATTGTCTTATCTCCCTGCTTCTTGTGTGTCAAATCAGCAGTTACGTGTGAAATCTATGTTTGGCCAGTTGATTTGTTTTTTGGGGTTCGGAAGACATGACTAATCATATTCTTAAATAGTCTACCTTGATATACCTTGGTGCTGCATTCCTGCATTTGTAGCAAGCACCCAACCCATCAAGCCGACCCCATGTGCTCCATGCTTACTGTCTGGTATAGCTCACCTACATGTGGTTCCATGTTTGGTGGCAAGTGTTTGTAGATAAGTAAACCTATTCCATACATGGAGCATTAAACGACTTGACCCCAAAGCCATTGATATCAAAAGATTCAAATCATGCAATGGTAAAGATCAACAGCCTCCAGTAAACTAAGATAGCTATGGAAAATAACTGGTTGGTGGTTGAGCCCAGCCCTACCCCCCTGATGACATTCTGCGGGAGCAGGGAGGTTCACCTATTCCAACCACTAACCAAAGTCCCCCAGATGGGATCACAAGGAAAAAGACAATGAAATAGGGTGGATGAAGTGGCCAAACGATATGGCACAAGTCGAAAGTCCCTGATCCCCTAGATCAGGCTGCAACGAAGGCTCGGAACTGTTTTGCCGGGGCTCAAGCGCTGCGGTGCAGCTGCATGTGAAAAGTGTCATGACATGACCTACATGAGACAACCCTATGCCACATTCGCACCAGCCAAAGTTTTTCTTGGCTCAAAAGGTCATGGCATATGGTATGGGTTGCAAAGCTTGGAGATCTCTCATCTGCTGAAGTGCTCCACGTCCTTGTTGTTTCGCCTTCTTCTCGCTGGTGACAAACTTCGGGTCATAGTGAAGTCGCCAGACAAAGTTGCGAAGAAACTGCAACAAGCTCTGTCGGGCCACCTGAGGCTTCTTCGTCAAAGCATCACTCAGGTTCCAATCACCAGCAAGCCAAATGAGCTTTGCTCCACCATGGTCAAGTTGTTCACGAAGTTGGTAAGCCTGCAGAGCACTGCGGGCATTCGTGAGACCAAGCATCGGTCCCTCAGATCGAGTGACAGCATCAAAGCCACCCTTACTATCTGTTCCAACGATGCCATAGATGGTCTTGACCATGTTGTTGGCGCTGTTGAGGACATCATCACCAATGGGTGCACCGTTGAGTTGGCACCACATGAATCTTGTTCTAAAGTTCGCGTCCTCACCTTCCAACATAGACTGAACTTCACCATCATTTGTGCTGATGGCTTTGCGCTTCAGCTTCCAAGTTCTCCATCCAACAATGGATAGACGTCCAGCTGCTCCTTCACGGTGTGCAGGACCACCCAAAAGTGTCAGCAAACCACCTGTAGAATCACCGCTAGGTCGATTGGCATGAGCTTGATCAGCAAGCGTGACGATTGTGACATCTTGCCAATGTTCAAGTTCGGGATGATTCCAAAACTTCAAGCTGACTGGATTTGAACGAACTTCTCTAATGAGTTCTTGGATCTCCTTGGCCGTGTTCATGTCATGGTTGCTTGTGATCTGCGAAAGAAGCAGATTGGCTCGTGCACAGGCTTGAACTTGTGTTTGAGTTGCAGCCCATTGGACTGCTCCAAGTCCGGCTCGGCAAGCACTCACTTCATCAGGAGTGAGCTGTGGGTTGTCGGTGCGCTTCAAACGCTCCGGGGCAATGGTCAGGTCCATGAGGCCTTCCACATAGTAGTTCTGATCCACCTCGACCAGAAAGTCATTACCCTCGGTTTTGACGTTGATATCCAAACCAGTGTGTCTGTACTGGTTGATTTTCACCGTTCCCCACTTGTAGCTCTTGTCAATGGCCTCTCTGATGCGAAGCCACTCAGGATCTTGAAGATCTCCGGCTCTGTTGAAATCGTCAACATGTCCGCCGACAAAACCAATCAGCTGCTCAGTGTCAAACTGATTTCGAGGATTTGGGTTTGGCTTTGTCCAAATCCAAAAGGAACTGTCGCCGATCAGGCGTTTCGCTCCCAAGGCACAAAAGGTTTTGTCCACATCTTCCCATAAACCTCGAGGTGCTGTGGCGTTGCCATAGACGTTCTTGAGGATTCGAACCGCTTCATGAGGTTCTGCTCCAAGGGCACGATTGAGTTCTGGTACCCCTTGCATCCAAATTCTGCGATCCTCCTCCGTCTTGCCAGTCTGCAAAAATGCAGTGGACATATCAAGTCCTTCCAACTGCCAACGGCGTTGAGCCACCACACACAAGGAGAGGTTGCGGACCAACTGCGATTGCACTGGTGCAGTTGTTGCTAGAGACGGGTCCAACAAGTCAGGGTGTTGATAGCCCAAAACGACTATCCTCGCCTTTGCTTTGCGAGTGCCATCAGAGCTGTGGACTGTGTTCTCATTTTCCCTGGCGTCAGCAAGTGCTTCAGCACGCGATTCCTCAGGCACTGATTTCCAAACCAATACCCATCTTGATTTCAAAACACGTCCACTTCGCTTCGCTTCTTGTTGTTCCTCAAAGCTCAAACAGCGGCGAACTGCCTCTGTCTTGATGAAGCTTGAAACTTCGGAGCTCATTGCTCGCTTGAACAACTCCTTCTCATTGGCACTCAAACGACGAAAACTCACCTCTGAACCAGCCAGTTTCTTCGCCAGGTAGAGGCTCGGGTTTCTCTGAAAAGCCTTCTTTTGGCGATTTGAAGCAAGGTCCAGCTCGATGTCCATCAAATAGCCACTGTCGATCTGGTTGAAGATCTGCAGGTGCTTCATGTACATGTCTTCCTTGTCGTCCTCGTCCTCATAGCGGGCACGCTTGGACTCAGGCTCAGGAACTGGATCAGGAAGACCATCTTCAGGAGAGTCCAAATAGGGCTCTTTGTTTTCCACCATCGGCGTTGAAGATGTTGTAGAAAATCTGCGATCTTCACGAAGAGGACCATGAGGCATGTTGCCAAAGTCGTCATCTTCCAGGTCGATAGGTTCAGGATCCTTTGCAGGTGTTGTAGGTGCATAAGATGGTGATCGTTCTGCTTGTTCATCACCATAGTCATTCACCATCTCAGGCTGCTCATAGACATCGCTGGGCTTCTTCTTCCCAGAGATTCGCATTGGAGGCATAGGTCCAGTAGGGCCAACCTTGGAAAAGTCAGGCACATAGTAAGGAACACCAGGAAACCGTGAAGAGGATCTTGATGAAGAAGTTCCAGCTGTTCGCATGTCAGGTGGATGTTCAGGAAGGTCAAACTCCTCGGTCTCACCATCCGCAGGCTGCTCGTGCTCGATGTCGACGTACTCCCTCTTGGGAATGATGTCGGAGAGCTGCTTCCACTTGTTGGGATCGATGGCATTTGTTGCTTCTTCATGGGCTTGTTCTCGATCCGACAAGGGTCGCACAGAGAAGACAGAACATCGAGAGCGTCTTGCCAATGACCACCCAAACGATTGGAATTGGATCTCCTTCTACTTGTCCAGGAATGAGTTCATGTAGAACCACTCTGCCAGGTCCAATCCATCTCGGTTTCACAGTGCGCTTGACTCCTCCACGAGGTCCTTTGTGGAACTTCGGAGGCAAAAACTTCCTCCAAACCATCACAGGCTGTGCAAGGTCGAAGTTGCGACGAGGCTGCTTCACAGTGGTGTTCTTGATCCTTGAAAGCACATGATCTGCTCTCGCTTTTCTCGCATGCTCTTCAGCAGACTGTCGGTTTGTCAGGAGTCGGGCAAATTGATCTTGTTGACGGTCAATTGGAAGTTGAAGATGCTGACGTAGCTCATCATCAGTCAGCTCAGCTTGTCGACCAAAGGCCCATTGGATACTGCTGTATCCCTTGTTGTACTCCGTAGAGTTCACAGCTGCTGTTGCAAGTGCAAGGCTGATCTCAGGATCTTGGTCAGGAGAGGAAGCATGAATCCTCGAAGCAGTCTCTTTCACCAGTTGATGACCACGTTCAACAAGTCCATGAGCCCAGGATTCATGATCCGGTGGGTAGATCACTTCAATGCCAAGGTCTGACATGTAATCCACAAACTTCTTCGCTGTGAGGCTCTTGGCATTGTCTGGAACCAAGATTCGAGGTCTGGGCTTGTCAGAAAGCCATCTCAAAGAAACACTGCGGATCATCTCCTCGGCGGACTCATTCTTGATAGTGCCGTGTTTGTTCTTGAAGAGGACGTCGGTCACCTTGTACTTGGTGCATAGATCCATCATGATAACAAACTTCACCTTGATGTTTTCACCAGGAACTTCCCACTCAGAGACATCGATGCCAACTTGTTCCCAAGGTCCAGGAAGATTTCGCATGCTCGCTGGGTTGATCTGCTTGGAGCTAATGCCACCGCCCTTTTGTTCTTGGCAATAGGGGCAAACATGCTCCAAGGCCATCTTGATCTTCCACCGCGGGAGTTGTGCATCAGCCATCATCCGCGCCATGTTGCGCGCTGTGGGATGTCCAGCTTGTCTGTGAAAGCGATCCAATTTCGCTTTCCATGCTCGTTGATCTTGTTCAGAAGGTTGAACTTCAGCAGGAACCACCGCATCGTCAGGCACATTCTCATCGTCCTCCATGAAGAGGTCGCCATCAGGAAGTCCAGAACATAGATGAGCTTGATGATCATCACCATCGCAGAGCTCCTTGAAGGGGTCCATCACCACAGGTGCTGTTGAAAGCATCTTGATCCAACGGTCAGGGATCAAAGTGCGACGCCAAAGCTGTGCAATACTTCGGCAAAGTGCCGTTGGGTAGTAAGCACTGCGCGTCGTTTCAAGTCCATGTATTTGAGCATGTTCATGGTTTTGAAGACACACCTTCAAGCGAAACATCGTGTAGAAGACCACATCAGTCGTCAAGATCTGCCAGGACTTCTTGATGATGTTGCCATGAGAGTCTTTCATGCCATAGCGGCATCCATCGATTTGGCACAGGTAAAGATTCCTGCCACACTTCTTGAAGAGTCGAGTCTTGAACTCTTCCACATGAGGCTCTTTCCAAGCTCTGCAGCGTCGCGGCCATTCCCAGTAGAGATCGGCAGTCTCGTCTTCCAGCAAGGCTTCTTCTGCAAAGTCCATCACCTTAAGGTGCATTGATTTCTCCTTGCGACGTCGTTCAAAAAGAACTTCACGTCGGTTGTGATAGTTGAGGTCTGTCCAGTCACAGTAGAAGGTGCAGGGAGTGCTGATCCAAAACTTCTTGGGCTTGTGGCGACGTCGAAGTTGACGTAGGCCATCATAGGTATTCTTGCGGTAGAGGTCGAAGCCACCCGCCAGGTTGATGCGGTAGGCGCACAAGCCAGCTTTGAGAGCTTGGTTGGTCAGCTCACTGTCAGGACTGCAGAACATTTCCCAAAGCATTGGAGGTTTCTGGTAGACTACCTGGGCAATCTCAGAGTGAAGTTGGTCACAAAGAGCAGCAGCCATCATCATCACGCCTTTGCCCACACGCAGAGGCATCTTGAAGGTTGCATCTTTCACTGCTGTTGCTCCCCGTACGCAGGCTCCAGCTCCGTGTCCGAGCTGATGTTCACATTGATCACCGGCTGAACTGCCCGTTCTGCCGCAAGCTGCATGAGGCGCTCCTTCTCCTCCGCTGTCAGGTGCTCGAAGGCCATGTTGAGGTCCATCCTGCTGGGAGAGACCTGTTGCCATCCGCTTGACGCAGGAGAAGGGCCAGGCTCTGGTGTTGGTGTTCGAGGTCTTTGGATCGGAGAAGCATACCCTTTTGCCTTTGCGGCCGATTTGGCCTTGTTGATCTTCTCCACATTCTTCTGCATGGTCTTCTCGAAGTCCGTCAGCATGGTCTTGATGCGCTCCTCGGCCACCACCTTCTCGATCATCGCGCGCACCAGCTCTTCCGTAGGCATTGCTTGAGGAGGTAGAAGACCTTGTAGTTCGTCCAAAGCTCGCTTCACGTTGGTGCCATTCATCGTCACCATGGAGTTGGCCGGGCTGCCAACTCGAGGCTTGTACCATAGACGGTACCCGCACTGGAGGCAATTGACCCAGATGCCGTACCTGTTGCTCATCTCCTTGCTTGGGGCATGCGTTCCCTTGCAAGGCCACTGGCTTCGTTGATGCCGTGGGTCTCGAGGATCTCCCTCCATCCGACGAGATTCGTCCGGAGGCTGCATGTCGCTCTTGTCCTTGTCCTTCGGCATGGCTACTTGAAGAGGAAGTTGTCGGGGTTGAAACGAAGGGCAAACGGTTACCCATGAGCCGAACACTGCTGTTGGAGGACAACTTCATCCGTCGATTCACCATGTACTCGAAGGCTTGACTGAACTTGCCATCAACGCTTGCATTCTCAGAGACAAAAACGTCAGAAAACTGAACTGGGAAAAACTCAATGGAGTGATCGTTGATGACTTCTGGTTTTTCATCAGATTCTTCCAACATGACATGTACTGCAGCATGACCCTTGGAGTTTCGGAGACCATCAGTGAGGTATTCGACAACATCCAACATGTAGTGACCCTTTTGGTTTTGAGGAAGGTTGAGAACTACACCATTCATCAAAGGAAGAAAACAATGACCATCGTTGAAGTCCAAAACTGCTCCAGCTTCTTTCAACCAGTCCATACCTACTAAAACAGGAACCAGCATGTCCATGGTAAACCAATCTTCATGACGTTCTTCGGGATCAAGTGCAAAACATGAAAAACTGCGTGTACTCCCCGTAATAGATGAAGAAACGGTCAACTTGTAGAGGGCTTGTCCCCATTTGCCAGAACCAAAACGAAAACGAGGTTGATCCTTTGTCTCCACGCGGATCTGTGCTGCTGCATCGGCTTCCATGATCTTTGTCACCAGCCGCTGAACACTGGTTTCAGGTCCAGCAGAGCATGTAGCTCCGGAGTCGATCATGCCACTGCCAGGTGGGATCTCACGAGGGATCTGTGTCTTCCTCGGAATGGCCACCTTCTTTGTCGCCAGCATGGCATGTTCCACAGGGCCGTTGTGCTGGGTCTGAAGCTCCATCTCCAAACCATAGTGGTTCAGCGCATAGGCATTCACAGGTGCTTTCCCTTTTCCTTTCCCTTTCCAGGGGTCAAAGGTTTTGCCCTTGTAGGACTTTCCTTTCGATTTGCTCTTGCCCTTCTGCATGGCATAGATCCAGTCATGCCATTCATCCTCCATGTAGTGCAAACCTTTCTTGCCCTTGCCCTTGGACTTGGAAACTCCATGAGGAGAAAGTCGGTCAGGACATTCTCGAGCAAGATGTTGTGTGCTGCCGCAAATGAAGCAAGCTGCTCGGCCAAAACCACGATCTTTCTTCATGGCTGCCGTTGCACGTTGTGCTTGACTCCAACTGCGACCATCAGCCAAAAGTTGCTCCATCTTTTGAGCTTCAGCAGCAGAGGTTTCTGAGGCATTGGGATCACCTTCTTGAGCTGCATTGGCATCAGCTTCATCTTCTCCATCTTCAGGCCACCAGCTGTCGTAAGACCATAGGTCTTCGCTCCAAGTCAAAGCCGCATTCCAGGACGACCATCCATCATCGCCCCACTCATCCCAGGAAGAGCTTGAAGACATAGAGGACCAATCATCATCGTAGTGCTCGTCCGCGATGTAGGCTTGAAGATGTTGTCCATGATATAGAGGCTGTTGAGGATGTCCAGGTTGAAGTCGAGTGCCACCAGTCATCTGCTCGTCATAGAGTACCTGGAGAGCATCGCTAATGGAGACATAGTCCAGCTTTCCCTGCGTAGTGCCCAAAACATCTCGCCACTCATCAGTGGAGAGGCTTGCAGAGGTCAAGAGATGCCATCCTCGTAGTTGCTCCAAGATGAAGCTGTCGGACACCGACAAAACCAGTTCATCTTCTTCTGCAAGAGGTTGGCCAGGATCATCTGTTGGAATCCGGGCATAGCGTCTTCGACGTTCTGAAGGATCTGGGCTCGCATTCACAGTTGGGGCCTCAGAGTCAGGACCCTCGCTGGCTGACTCCTCATCAACCGTTGGCAATCCAAAACCATCACGTTCAGGATCAACACCATTCTTTTCCTCCTTGAGGCGAATCAAGCACTCGCGGAACTCCTCATAGTGCAAGGCTTCCCGAATGAGGAAGTTGGCAATGGCTTCACCACGGTAGCGTTTGAAGGAGAAGTACTGGGCCATGATTGAAGCAGCATTGGGCAAGCTCTTTCGAACCAAAGGGCTCTTTGAAAGCTTCGACAGGAGAACTCGCACCCCATCAGGACCATTGAACTCCTGAAGTTGCCATGTCATAGCCAAAAGCCGTGCAGGACCGCTCAGCTTTGTGATCAACCTGCTAGCCAAGTAAGGCCGAAGGCTGGGCTTTGTGCCAAGCATGTACCATTGCACCTCTTTCACATAGCGGCGCCATCCTTTGGCTTGTCCATCCCAGGCAGGGACATGTTCCATTCCACCTTGCTTTTCAGCTGAGGCAGACATCGCTTCCAAAACTGGGCAACAAAGATCTCTTCAGAGAAGTTGCAAAAGAAGAATTGTAGAACCTTAAAATAGTTCCGGATGAACACAAACTGTCCAACGTTCAAATAGAAATGCAAAAAGTACCCCAGATGTCAAAGTCCAGGATGTAGTGGTCGGCAATGTGAAGCCTCCCAAAGGAAAACTGCAAAACAAGGCTTGGGCTCAGCGCAATCTCGAACCAGCCGAAGAAGATGTCGGCGGATCCAAGTCAATCCTCAAGGCACCCCCAGTGGACAATCTTCCACGTTCAATTGCTCGCCGTCCGTTGAGGTATCCGATCTCAAGGAAGCAGAAAGAAACCCACAAAAGGCGCTAGAGTGAGCACCGCCTGCAACTTGTCGTTGAAGTCTTGGCGATCTCTCAGATCCTCTCTCACCTCAGGCTCAGGGTCAGGCTCGAGGAAAACAGGGCCAGGTCGTTCAGGTCGTAGGTCAATCAGCACCGAAGGAAACCCAGGCGGGCTGAAGGCTTCTCTCCGATCTCGTCGGGGAGATCTGGACCTTCGATCTCGTCGGTGAGATCGTGACCTGCTTCGATCCCTTGTAGTCCCAGCAACCACTCGGGCTGCAGCCGCTTCTCCTCGCCGATGTCCAGGAACAGGTCTTGTAGGCCTTGTCCAGGAAGTAGTATCGGCCCCACGAGCCACAGCAGGTGCTCTCGCACTCCTTGAGTCGCTAGGGTAGGTGTTGCTAATGCTCCACCTCCCAGCCGTAGTGCCCCCTGGATCCCCTCACCTGCTCCGCTACCAATGCGGGAGCAGGGAGGTTCACCTATTCCAACCACTAACCAAAGTCCCCCAGAGGGGATCACAAGGAAAAAGACAATGAAATAGGGTGGATGAAGTGGCCAAACGATATGGCACAAGTCGAAAGTCCCTGATCCCCTAGATCAGGCTGCAACGAAGGCTCGGAACTGTTTTGCCGGGGCTCAAGCGCTGCGGTGCAGCTGCATGTGAAAAGTGTCATGACATGACCTACATGAGACAACCCTATGCCACATTCGCACATTCCCAATATGTGGGAAAATAAAGAATGTTCCAAACCACCAACCAGCTAATCATGTTGCATTAGAAAATGGTTTATAAATACTACACTACCAGAGGGTACCCAAAAAGAAAGTGGGCAGCATCCAGCAACGGCGCAACGTGGACGACTCGCACCTGAGAATCTGCCACCAAGATCAGCACACCATCCTCGATACCATGGGTCGATGGAAGATGTTTATGGGATATTGACCATCAAAGTAATGGAATATGGAGAAATTTGATGGTATATGGGTAATAGGGGAATCAATGGAAATATTCAATGAAGTAAGTATCCCAATAAAGTAAAGGAAATTGATGGACTATCAATGGTATGCTCAGGGAATTTGATGAACTAAGTATCCCAAGAAAATATTCCAATGAAGTAATGGGGGAATCAATGGAATATGTTCATTGGTTTTCCAGCCACATCCAGATTTTTGTTCCACTTATCATGGGGGTTGGCTCAAATAAGTATGACCGTCTGGTAATCAAATGTGACTGGAAACTGCTGGATCGAGGCTTTGTAGCTGGGAACATCATCGACAAGTCGTGATTTTCCATTGCCCAAGTCTTCTGGAAACAATCTGCATGTAGTTTTGGCTGAAGAACTACGATCTATGGCTTACAATGGGTATACATAAATCATCATATGAGTGGCGGACAAAATTACTTAATACCCGCAATGGACATGGCCAAAGTGTGTGGTCCCCTATCAGGCCCTATCGGTTGTGAGTGTTTTCGCACAAATTTGAACATCCCATGTCTTTAGTCTTCCCCTCATTTTGTCGTTTACTCATATATCTATAGCTAGATGGGCCAACACAAAGCAACAAACAAACACCTTTTGGTGGTTTCAATCTATATCAAAAAATATCAGTCAGTGGGATCACCAGACCATTTCAAAAAGGTTGTTATTCGAATGAAGCAATCATTAACGACCAACATTCGAAACATCATTTTTTTGCTGCATAACATTGATATACCCTCTGGTAAACTCACATAACTATGGAAAATCACAATTTTCAATGGGTAAATCCACTATAAATGTGCAATTTTCAATAGCTATTCTTACATAACCAGAGGGTATTAATAGCTATAGTCGAAAGTCTTGTTGTGGCATGTTGTGGGTGAACTTGTTCCATCCGTTTCCCCCATCTTGCCAATGGCTTTCCATGCCGGAAACCCATGGATTTGCCGCATGTAGACGTACCCCCAAATAGATTGAACACTACCCTGGGCAAAAAAAAGTAAACTTGCTAAGATACAATATACATCCTTCAAACACGGGTGCAACTGCAACAAAAATCTTTGTATCCTATTAAAACTTCCCAGTATATTCACATGGAATCACTATTATCAAAAAATATTCCCAGTTTGTGTCATGCTTGTTTCATGTGTATATATATATATATAAAGCTCTTTTGAGGTCAGGGATGTATTTATAAAAGGGTATCTAAACATAGCTATCCCCTGGGTTCAGGGTGTATATATATATATACATACATATAACTAGAGTTGGGATCTATACCCTCTGGTAATTTAACATAACTATGGACAATCTCCATTTATATATAGTTTTCCCCTGAAAAAATGTGATTTTCCATAGTTTTTTGTATGTTCACCAAAGGGTATAGTTTATAAAGCATAGTAATTTGTTCGATATATCTACCACAAGCCCTAGTTGTTGTAGCTATGGGATACCACCTTGTACATCAATGGGGTATTAATAGGATAATAACGATAATAACCATATGTATATCCATACTGATTCTTCTTGCATCACGGTGGATCGGCCGGTGATTGGACATGCACGGCCAATGTACGGCCAAGCGACGGCCAGCGCCCAGACTCTCTTGGCCTTTAAGGGGTCTAGTTTCCTCGGTGGGACACAGGTCAAAATCTCAAAAAAACGGGGGAATCTTTACAAGGTGCCAGCCAGAGATAGTAATTTAACATAGCTATTGAAAATTGAAATTTATAGTGAGTTTTCCCATTAAGAATGGTGATTTTCCATAGTTTTGTTAGCTTACCAGAGATAAGTTGGTTGATAGAACCCTATATGTCCATTGTCCTATAATCCCTAGTCAGGCTAGTTATGGCTTATTCATGCAAATTCTATTGATGTATGCTTATCTTCGGTTTTCACAATTCATTTGCGACTTTGTCAAACATCAATTCAGAAAGGAAAAATGCTCAGGAACATCAGTTTCGACTGATGGGGACTGGTTGCAATCCAACTGCTCGCAGGCTCTAGGTCTATGACCACGGAAAGAAACCGGTTCTGCGGATCGAATGCAATTGAGGAACTGTTCGAAATGTTTGAAACACCCCTTGCTCAGCACTTGAGTCACTTGAGAAGAGGTTCTCCGCACATGTCACTTTCAACCAGACTCGATTAGCAGGAAGGGTGGGGAGCTTCAACAGCTTCAACTTTTGTTGTCTTCGGTCAGGGTACATTTCAAGATCATCTCCGGCTCACTCTGCTGTTCCGGGTCCACTGTCAGACAGACCTAGTGACAATTTTTTGGAATTTTGTTTGATAAGCCCTTGTTAGTAACTCATTACAAAGTCCCATACTCCAACATTACATCCAAGCTAGAATATTTGCTTGTACCCTCTGGTAAACAAACAGTTTGCTATTGAAAATTGCCATAGAAATAGTGAGATTTCCCATTAATAGCATGGTGGATCTTTCCATCGTTTTTTGTTAACGTTTTACCAGGCCGGGTACATCATCTTCCAGCCATGATACCCTCTGGTAAACGTTTACATAACTATGGAAAATCATCATGCTATCAATGGGTAAATCCACTATTTCTATGGACAAATTTCAATGTCGCAAACTGTAAACGTTTACCAGAGGGTATCATAGTTTTGTTGGTGATATACATGATATTCCATGATATTCCATGATATTACCATAGTTATATATACCATTCATAGAATTGGATGATGGGAATTTTTTAACCGGAAACCCCTATATTTGATGGTAAAAACCCATGGTTTTCGGTTCAATTGCAAACTGATGGTAATTTGAAATTTCACTGGCGGAAACAAACTCTTCACAGGTGGGTTCAGCGGCCACAGCATGCCACGGCCACAGGTGGGTAGCGCCGAGTAGTGCCTCCCATCATAAACCGCAGCTTGTAACATTGTTCTCCAGTTACCAAAAAACATACTTCCCAATCGTCAAGGTGAATATATATACAGTATATATACATTAATGTATAATATATATATATACACATTAATCATTAATTTATATTGACCAGTTACCATCGATATAAACATTGTAATGAAAATAGGATAAATATACAAATATGGCTATGTCATTTTTATTTCCATTGCTTGCTGTTTCAATCCTCAAAATCTTTTGGTAGATTCCAAAAGATTTTTTGGCAAACCCATTTTCATTGTTTCAATTTTAAGAACAAAAGAACAAACGATTATTCAGACAAAAATTGTCCAAAAACCAACATCAATGAGCCCAATACAAGCCAAAAACAAGCGCACGATAGGATTTTGAGGAACGTTTTGGAAACTGGTAAAGTCTAGATGATCTCTAGGATAGCTAGGAAGTCTAAGATATCCGTTATTTCGACTTGACTAGAAAAAAAGTATGTTATAATCGTCTCACTTGTTTACAAGAATTGCAAATTGTTTTTATTCTGTGATTTAAATCTTTCTAAAAAAAAACGCACACACACACAACAATTCCGGTGTGGGAACAGGATATCTGGTAACAAATGGTAAGTAGACTGTAAATTGCATGGAACTGAGATATTCGCTAGATATTCTGTGGCATCACCATATTATGGCTAGATATATCTGGTTGTATAAACGATCAATCCAACATTTCCCATAAAAACTCCCTGTTCATCCAACTAAAAGACCATATTATGCAAGGTGGTGCCCTGGTGCCCCATAGCTACTTACGTTGGCTAAGCTCACTAACATTCCAATCAGGCTTATGGTAGATATATCTATAGTTCATAGGCTTTTCTCATATTATATCAAACATAAATCAAATATATCCGACTATCTCCCATGATAACCAACTCATAATCATACTATCCCATAGTATGCGCCTTTCTTGTCGCTCACCAGATTTTAGCTTGTTAAATCCCATGTTTTGGGATGAATCTCAATTCCAACATGGGAGAGTTTGCTAAAATATAATCCGATTGATGGTTATAGCATGTTTACAAAATTAGTTATATCCTGATTGTTGCTTACATCTGCATTTCATCCCATGAATTCTTGTTGATGAATCATCTGGTTGGTGGTTGACCTACCCCTCTGAAAAATGATGGAGTTCGTCAGTTGGGATGATTATTCCCAATATATCGAAACATAAAAAATGTTCCAAACCACCAACCAGTCATATGAGCCATGGTCAATACTCACTATATGGTTGATGGCCATCCCATCCATAAGAAGGATCCTTATAATGGCTATCATAAATCCCTATGAACCATTGGATGACTAGCCCCTATTAATGGTTATTAACCATGAGTATTGACCATAGCTCATATTTGCGTTGGGTAAATCACAATTTCGTTGGGTCAATCCCCAACCGAAGCAACCGAACTGGTTCAGCGTTGCTCCACTGACTCCACCGAGGATCGCCACAAAGTCCTCCGCGTCATTCTTCACCAGCAGCGCGGAAGAGCACAGAAGGGCCCATGACTCGCCTGGCAAGTTTCGACGAAGGACCCTTGGGGTTTTCCATGGGATTTCATGGTTCAATGGATTGGTTTGTTGGGGAAAATCTTAACCGGAAACCCATGGGTTTTTACCATCAAATTGGTTGGGGGTTCCGGTTAAATTTTTCCCATCATCCAATTCTATGAGTGGTATAACTATGGTAATATCATGGGAAGATCATGGAATGGAATATATCACCAACAAAACTATGATAGCCTCTGGTAAACGTTTACAGTTTGCGAACTTGAATATGGCCGTTTAGTTCGTTGATTTACCCATTAAAAATGGTGAATTTCCATACGTCATATGTATGTTAGTTTACCAGAGGGCAGGGATTCTTCCATTAGTATCCCATTCTATCCTAATTATTAATAGCCATTACAGGGATATAGTAGAGATATATCCTATGATATAATATCCCTATATGTGAGTGGTATCACATTATATATCTATACCTATAACATAAATTGAGGATCTAATAGGCAAATAAATATATATATATATATCATCCGTTATACCAACAAATGAGTATGTCATTATCTATTTTATCATTATATCTATTACCCTCTGGTTATTTAACAGGGCCATGGAAAATTGCCCATTTACAGATGTTTTTTTCCATTAAAACCTCCATTTATAATAAATGTTCCATAGCCATGTTAAATAACCAGATGGTATATATCATTTTATCATTTTATCAATCTACCATTATCATCTTATCATTCTATATATTAGTTTTCCACAAGAAATTGATAAATGGATATCATTCATGGGGCCCCCATGAAGCCAACAGACTGGTCCAATTTGTTGAAATCAGAGATAGTTGGGATAGAACGGAATAGATATCATACCCTCCGGTAAACGTTTACATAGCTATTGAAAATTGCCATAAAAATAGCGGATTTTCCCATTAACAATGGTGATTTTCCATAGTTATGTTAGTTTACCAGAGGGTAGGCATTATGATCAATGGCCATTTCAGGAACCGATTGATTAGAGGTACCTACCATATATAAGGCCTATTGTTCAGGCCTAAATTTCAGGAAATATCCCCACAAAATATGGCCAGAAATATGGTACGTTTACGTACCTCCAATTTAGGATCCTTTTTTATTGCCATTGATAACCATCATTAACCATCATTAACCATTATTAACCAATTTAGGATCCTGAAGCTACCATTGATATGATGGGCTTTAACCAACAAAATGGCTATTCCTAACGGCTTTTTTGGATGAGGAATGCTGATACAATGGGATACGAATGGATTTTTCGCCAATGGGAATCTTGGAGGTTCACCGCTTAAAGAAACCAATCATGGGATTAAACGGAGATATACCATCTGGTTATTTAACATAGCCATGGAAAATCACATTTTTTTATAGATGGGCCATTTTCCATGGCCATGTTAGTCATAACCAGAGGGTAACTCGACCATCAAAGATACAACTATTGTTTGAGTGATGCGATTGATATCTCCATGAATCAAAGGGATACTTTGTGGTTCATCCCACGAATCGTTTTTGCGGGTTCGTTCACCCCAGTGGATTACGTGGATTTACCATACAACCCCGCATAAATCACTACAAGGTGGTGCCCCCCCCAGTTATAAATGGGTTATAATCCCATTAACTATAGATATAACACGTATAAACCATAGTTATTGGACTTATTTGCACCAACTTAGCGTTCACGAACTGGGGCACCACCTTGTAGGTGGTTAAGCCACAAACAGTATATATGTGGAGCCACAAAAGATACCGGCAAATTGACATAGTTCAGCCAGGTTCCCTGAAAGAAACCTTTTTGGAACATGTTTGTGTTTATGAATAGGGCTAATCTTAACCACCAACAACCATTGGTTGATGGCTGATCAACCATCTAATATCAGGGCTGACCGTAGGGGGGTTAATTCATCACCATATAGATGGTACAACCAATAGTAAATGGTAACATGAAATATTATTGATTTGTAACGTTGAATATTAAATGGAATAATATGTATGAACCAATAACCAATAAGCAATGGCCGTTTCAAGTACCGAAATTGGAGGTACCTAGCATATATCAGGCCTATTATGGTACAGTATATACCTCTATTTTAGAGTCCTGAATTTCCCATTAATTCAATTTATCCGATAATAAATGGTACAATAAACTCTGATATATAATTGATAATGATTAATGGGTATGGGTCAAAATTAGGTACCCCAATAATTGGATGGTGAATACTAAACTAGACTAACATCTGTGGTCCCCTAGGTCTTCCATTTTGACCCACATCCTAATAATGATGGTATAGATGGTATAACGGTATAACCAATAACGGTCGGATCTTAAAAGCTGCGACCGACCTCAACGACCTGAACAGGGGGAGATGGAGGATATTTTCATGGGGATATAACGGGGTTTCCATAGTCAAGGGGGGGTACCCCAATAGCTGGATGGTTTATAATATTTCATTTCATAGACAATCATATGGAAATGAATGATTTAAGGCTACCCCTAATTTAGGAAAACTCCATAATCTGATAGAGAACCAGCTAATGTTCAAAACCCATGTTGTACTTTGTAACATGGGGTTGCTTGACGATAAAAAAGGGAAACCCTCTGACCTGACCAGTATAGTATAGAGGGGTATACTGGGAATATGGTTTCATTTTTATTTGGGTATACAATCTGGTTCTTAAACAGTTTGCCATGGTATAGATGGCCCATTTATAGATGATTTTCCCAGCTATAAACCTCCATATATGAGGGGTTTTCCATGGCTATGTTAAATAACCAGATGGTAATGGAAATATCATCGGATATAGTCAGCAAATAATTATGACACTCAATGGATAGCCTCTGGTAAACGTTTACGTAGCTATAGAAAATCACCATGCTATTCATGGGTAAATCCACTATTTCGACTGGGCCATTTTCAATAGCTATTCTTACATCACCAGAGGATATAGCAAATAATTATCCGATGAAAATGGATAGTTAAGAACAGCCTAAATAGATGATTTTCCCAGCTATAGCTCATCATAAACTATCCATTGAGCAAATAATTATGACACTCAATGGATAGTTTAAGAAACAGCCTACAGGAAACCCTTGAAACGCTCGAACAGGATATCTCGGGATGAGTCACTTGGGATGACATGACGTTCCCAATATTTTCTGGGAAAGTCATTCAAAATTCCATGGTTCCAGTCACCACCAAGCAGAACTGCTTGGACTAGTCCTGGTTGGCTTTTACGAAAACAAATCAATTGGTTGATGATTTTTTTCCCTACCCCATACAGGATGGGGGCCCCCAGATATAAGTCTGTTTTTAAACCATAAATAACCCCCATGAATACTGTAGTTATATCTACCATAAACCATAGAATTCAGCCACTTATAAGGCAACTTATAAATCTTGGGGGCCCCATCCTGTAGGATCCATGGTGCTGGTATATGAATGCTAACATAAAGGGGGTATATTGATGGGATCCATGGCACACCAAACAAATAGCAGCACCGTTAGGATCCGTCATGGGTACGGGTTAATTCATCATCCCCGCAAAAAGAAAAAAAAACATGGTCAATCCTTGGTAGTTCACAAAATATCATGGTCATCTTTTTGGCTGTTTATCTGGTTGGTGGTTTTAACCATCTTGAAACATATTAGTCAATGGGAAGGATTATCCTATATATTGTGGAAAATAAACAATGTATGAAACCACCAACCAGTTATGGTGGTTTTCCACTTACAGCAAAAACTAAAGGATTTTTTTACTACCTACCCTCTGGTAATTTGTGACAGTTTGCAACTGGAAGCCATGGCCCATAGAAATTTCGTTGATTTACTCAGCTAGAAAATGATGTTCCAGTTCGGAAACTGTTTAACATAGGGATGTATCCATGAACATCCCAGGTCCTGGATTTTGGTTAGTGCAATTCTCACCCGCAGCCATTGTCAGCCACCTGCGCCGCATGGCCCATCGCGTGGCCCATCGTTTTGATGCTCCAATTGGGAGAACGTACCTCAAAAGGCAAGGCGGTGCAGGGATGCTGGAAAGAAACATGGTCAATGTCAATAATCTATGTCTATAAATGGAGATTTGATGGGTCATATGACATAATATATATATATACATATCAATTTTATATATATTATGAATTCAATTTTATATGCTGTACATGTTGTATATAATAGGATGTCATGGTACATGGCATAACATTACAAATGCCCCATGTACGGAAGATTTGCAAACATGTTCTTCAGAAATGAAGCACATGTGGGTAACTATACCAAACACAGAGCGTATGGGATGGTTAATCAGTATATACCCTGCCCCATGTTTTGTATCTAGCTGGTCGTTTCCCCATTTTGGCTGGCTGAAATTAAACCCATTAAGCTATCAAACTAAGGTTATGTGCTCATTAATTTGGATTTGGCACAATTACTATGATAATTCACCAACACGAACTGGCCCAAGCAGATTGTCGGACTCCGGTTCACCCTGTTAATCCTAGTCAGAGATTTTTGCTACAGGGGGCGACTGTTTTCACTATGTGACGCCCCCCAGTTATAGTTGGTTATAAAATGTTATAAACCCCATTCACTATAGCTATACGCTGCATGAACCCGAGTTGATCAAGTGTTGAGTCAAGATAGTAAAAACCATGACTTCCTCTAGATGTTTTTTCTTAAATCATCCCATTGAATTGTACCCTCTGGTAAACTAACATAACTATGGTAAATCACCATTTTTAATGGGAAAACTCACTATAAATAGCCATTTTCAATAGCTATGTAACAAATTACCAGAGGGTACATCCCAAAGTGATTTTTTCAATTCGCAGCATAGAAAAATCCTCCCAAATCGACCATCCAAGGCCTGGAATACGCGACCTGGGACCCCGTGGATCAGCAAGTTGATCATTGATCAAGTGGGGTTCCGCTTCTCAACTTGGGCAGTTCAAGCTATAAGTGGATCTATTCCCTCTGGTTATGTCAAGCTAGCTATTAAAAATGGCCATTTATAGTGA